CCCCGTTCTCTCATCCCTCTGTCCTCTCGTCCCCCTGTCCTCTCGTCCCCCTGTCCTCTCGTCCCCCTGTCCTCTCATCCCCCCGTCCTCTCACCCCTCTGTCCTCTCGTCCCCCTGTCCTCTCACCCCCCTGTCCCCTCATCCCCCTGTCCTCTCATCCCCCTTCCTCTCATTCTTATCCCCCTGTCCTCTCATCCCCCTGTCCTCTCATTCTCACCCCCCCGTCCTCTCATCCCCCTGTTCCCTGTCCTCTCGTCCACCCATCCTCTCATCCCCCCGTCCCCTGTCCTCTCGTCCGCCTGTCCTCTCATCCCCCCGTCCTCTCATCCCTCTGTCCTCTCGTCCCCCCATCCTCTCATCCCCTCGTCCTCTCATCCGCCTGTCCTCTCATCCCCCCGTCCTCTCATCCCCCCGTCCCCCTGACCTCTCGTCCCCCTGTCCTCTCGTCCTCTTGTCCTCACATGCCCCTGTCCTTTCATCCTCCCGTCCTCTCAGTTTATATTCTCTCTGTCCCCCTTCTCTCTGTTTCCCTTCTTCTTATCGCCTTTCTCCCTGTCCCTCGTCTTCCTCACCCCCTTCCCCGTATACCTATCCCCTACTACCACCATTGCCTTCCCTGCCCTTCCTCACCCTCCCTCCTATTTCCCCCCACCCTCTGCCTCCCTTTCCCTCACCATCTCCCCATGTGTGGCAACTGTCAGCAAGCTCATCGCCACCACACCTCCTCCCTCAACAGAGGACAATGCACTGATGTGGATGGAGACTGGGGGTTGTCCACCTCCAACACCACCTGTTGGCTCGTACACCATATGATGGCACTGAATTTTACCACCGTTGACTCTCACTGCAGGAGAGCTTATGTTGTGCCATTCTTGAAACCAAGACCATTGAGGCAAACATGTTTGGTGGACAAGTGCTCATTCGCATAAATGTGGATTCCAAAATTCGATGTAAAATCCTCTATACATGTATACGCCTGCTGTGACTTGAGCCACTTGACACACACGCGTGCTAATTATGGTGAGTCATGAGCAAAAACTACCGTACTTGCTTTAGAAGGTGCAACCTGTTGCTGCCAAAATCATGCAGGTAGGAGGAGTAGTATCTGTAGGCTACATGTACTCAATCGTGTGGTGGTAATGTCTTGTATGCGGTGAAAATTTCCAACAAACAAAAAAATGTTCCGGACACCAAATGGATCTGCAGTTCAGTGGAGCAAAACATGGAGAAGTAGAGCAAAGAAAGAGACGAATGGTAATGAGAGCACCACATTGGGAGCAATAAGGGGCCACTCCTGACCTTGAAAGCTGTTGACGTATAGTCCATGCGGCTGGTTGAACGCATGTGTGGGGAGGGGTGTGAGGCATGGGCAACATTAGTGCCATGATAGTGAAACGAGCACAAAAAGATAAATCAGTGGTTGTAGTATGCATCAAAGGTTAGAACCAAGAAGACGTGGAACCGGATGGAGTAGGAGCAGCCTGTATTTTGTTGCAAAGGGGATAATTGGGTAGTATCACAATGCATGCTAAGTCGACAAAGACGAACGAAGGGTTTACGAAAGATACCTGATGGTAAATGATAAATCAATGGTTTGCACTTGACTTACGCTGTCGCATGTACCGTTGATTCGCATGACTGATGGCACTCGCACCTATTGGTGGTTGAGGTTGTGCTCGGAGGGGTCCACGACTCGGCTGACATCAAAGGGCGCCAAGGCCTCCTTTGGGGTCAGGCGCGGAGACACCACCATGGCCCTCTACTCGTATGGCACCAACTCCACATCAGTATCCTTCCCTAAAAGCACGTCCAGGAGCTGAGAGAACAAGGTTGGAATGAGAGGGGAAAATAATGCTCTATGATTGACTGAGGTGGAGGGTTTAGAATGACTAGACTGGGGAATTGAAGCATGAGGGCGTGAGATGGGCATTGAAGGGAGTAGGATGGGAGCATGGGACAAGGCTGGGAGAGGGCACACCGGGTCTGAAAGTGAAGATAGAGGGCAAAGCGAGAGATGCACATGTTATGGGTGAAGGCAGCAGTGATATGGACAAGGATAGGCACTATTACCCTCAAAGGCGCTCACCGGCATCGCCTATATCTAAATTGACGTGGCGTGTTGGACAAAATGGTGATTTAGATCCCTCCACGTCGGCGTAAGTGTTTCCAAAACGTTTACCGAGGATGGTTGGTGGCATCACCTGCAACATGATCGCAAGAGGGAAGCGTCAAAATATATTACATAAGACAAGAGTAAGGGTTGGCGAGAATGTGGTTCGGATCTTACATAAAATACGTCGCCCAGCACCGCGCGTCGAAGTAAGGCCGCGGACTATGCCACCTTCTCGCACAGGAGTAACCGGCCCAACAACAGATGGGTGTCGCCCTCCACAAGGTAAGTCGACAGGATGTTGCGCCTGCCTCTTTGGGGCCGTCTCCATAATCTCATCGTCGACTCCAAACCCCAGCGATCGTTGCCAGTCCTCCATAATCCGATCAACCCAAGACCAATCCATAGGTCCGAGGGTTCGATCCTTGTTGCCCCGTCGCACTCGAGTTACTTGCAGTACACGAGTGCGATACGATGTGACAAGCCTGTCCATCGAGTTATTCCAATGCAGGACAGCCAGCCCCACTCGTGCCTCAAGACTACCTTTGAACCTGATACGCTTAGCAGCGTATTTGATGATCAGGGAATGGAAAGACTCGTTTATGGAACTGTTGGCTCCGTGAACATAGGGTTTCACCTTGTCTGGCGAACACCGTTTCTTGAACCATGCAAGAACCGCCTTGTGCGTTTCCGATCCAGGCTCATAAAGTGCACATTCCCTGCCCCACTTCTCGGTAACACACCTTGGAGGAATACTCCCGTTCCGTCCACACTCGGAGTGGTCACCTGCCCAGTGGTTAGGTGCCGTCCCAATTTCCTTTGCCACATCTTCGGGAGTCATAGGGGTGCCCGCTTTCAACAGCGCCGCGCAACGCATCATCACATGGACGAGGCGAAGCGCTGCGCCACCGTACTCTCCTCATCGCCGGCGTTTATCTCATCTCCGCCACGTTTCCGTTTTCGCCGCCCAGTCCAACGGGGCAAATTCTCTCCGACGTCACTTCCGTGGTTGTCGGTCTCACCCGCTGCACCATCGTTGTTGCAGCCAGTCATCGTCTCTGTCAGGTCAAAACGAGCAGTATGAACAATTTTAGGAAACAAGCGGCGTACTCCAATCTGAATATGGCATGGAAAGTAAGTTTCACAAAGCGTTCATACCAGTAGCTTCATCATTGTTGGCCCACGGAGTCGTCCCGCCGATAAATCGTAAGTTACTGCATGCACCCGCATGTGCGTGCACGATGAGAGAACTAGCCAATGACGATGGTCTCGCACCACGCACAGGATGGATATCGTATTGCCATAACTCCTCCACATCCGCCCACTGCACATCAACTTGGGTTGCACCCGCATCCGCCTCGTCAACCGCAGCATCTCGAACGATGGGCTGCATCTCTCCAGTAGTATCAGGACGCACCTCGCCATATCCCACTGGGACATCTACTGCCGCCCGTTCTCCTCCTAGCCGTCGGACTTTTCGCAACTCAGGAAACTTCCACTTTGCTTCATCAGGGGTCATCTTCACATATGCAATGGTACCCATGGCTTCACACACCGCCTTCACAAGTGATGCTTTGAGTGTCCCTTTCGCCTCTTTCTCCAATCCTTTGGTCCTCAACCACTGCTTTAACTCTTCCACCTTAGCCAACCATAGCTCCTCGACACAGCTAGCCTTGTCCACCTCCACAGCCATCCGCACCTGATCCTGAAGCTCCTTGCAGAAAAGATTGTACAGCGTCCGCTTCACGTGCCACCAATCCACCTGATGATCCAGCTTTCGCTCTGCCGCAGCGCCTCTAAACGTGGTTCCTTGATCCGAGATGATGCCCTTCACATCGAACCCCAACAGCTTCAGCTCATCAACCCCTCTGTCGAATGCCACCCGCTCCAATCGCACCGACGATTTATCATCCACCCCTTTACGTGTTGTTACACAGTACAAGATCTTCCGCGACGGTATGTCCATGAACGACACTGTGCACCACTCACCCTCTCGGACATGTGACCATCGGCCATCCACCGTCACGTATTCGGCTGGAATGTCACGTTTGCTCATCTCCTCCCGCACCAAAGCCATCGACTTATCCGCCTCCCTAAATATTGTTTTCCATAACCCATTATCGCCCCCAAGGTATCGATAGAACGTGTTTTTGCCAGGACATGGAATGCCAAAATTGCGGCTAAACTCCCACATCTGTTGATACCCCATCCCAGCGAGCGCGAATGCTCCCACATATTTTGAGTGTAGCATGGGCACTCGTGCACCAACCCCAACTCTCTTCTTGTCAAGGGTTCGATTGGTGCACGACCAGAATTCCACACCATGGGAACACTTATCGCATCTCCAAAACATGCCAACTGAAGCCCAAGAAAACTTCCACGACCTGAGAGACATAGCACCTCCGCATGTATCTTAATGCGAGCACACTAAGCGACACCTGTCAGAATGTTATTCTCTAGCCTGTAGTGGGGTGCTCTATAGCGAGTACAACCCATCTAGGGTTTGCTATATGTATCCTCATTGCTGCTAGTGAACTCCCCTCTTTTGCCTAAACTTCTCTTGCCTAGCTAGGACTTACCTAGCTATGGCTCCTAACTCTACCTACTATCTTCACAACACCCCTTGAAGAACCCGACAACGGTACGTGGTTCGACTAGACATACCCGTTGCTCAGGGATATCATCAACACTTGGTGATGTAGGCCAATGCCTGGGGACTGTCCCGCGCGCGCTCGCACGCGGATGGCTGTAAACAGGCCTTACGAGGGGTATAGAAAAAGGTCACAAATAGTGAGCGTATGGTTGCCGTGAAAGTGTAAAGAGCCTAAGTGGGACCAGATGATTTCATAAGGTTGTAACATGAATTCCAAATGTGTAGTAAATCAACTGCTCACCTGTCCTCTGGCATGCCATTCATCGTGCTCGGTGACGCTGTAGGCAATGACATGGTGCCGTTTGCATGATGTCCACCCCCCGCAGGCAAAGGAGGCACGGAAGGAGTAGAGGGTATGCCTTCGACATCACCACCACCCCCGACGGGCAGAGTAGGCACGGAAGAAGTAGAGAGTATGCCTTCGCCATCACCACCACCCCCGACGGGCAAAGGAGGCGCGGAAGGATGAGATGAAGCCGTAGCATTCTCCACCCCACCATCGTTCGTAGTGCCGCTACGAGCAGCGCGCTGTGCATTACCTGCACTTCAGCAATAGTGGTATGATAAGTGGATGTGGGCGTTGGGGCGACACGTCATCGTGAGACAGCATCACCCGTGTTCGGCTATGTAGCATGTTTGAAAGGCATTACCTCCTTGGCGTTGTAGAGCAAATGCCTTCCCGCGTCTTGCTCCTCCCCAAGACAAGCCCTCCACACGCCTTGGTCTCCCGCGATCATCTAACCGCATAAGCGGAAAGGCATATCTCACACCAAACAGCTCCCGATCCGGCCGTTGTAATAAATCAGTGACCTTCTCGAAGGGCACTTGAGCGTGGGCCTTGAAAATGCGATGGTACTCTTGGCGGTGCAACTCGACCGTGGCGCCCGTCTGTGAGCGTCCAGACTCAGCATCTGTGACGGATGGGAGTTGGGGGTGAAGGTAGAGTAAGGAAGAATTTGAAAGACACGTCACTGAATTTGGGTGCGAGGAGACGGCTGATGAGGCCCTTGGGCCCAATGTCCAGCGCGCTGGGGTGAGTGGGGGGGGCAGGGATGAGGGATGGGGAGTGTGGCGGGGTGGGAATAAGTCTCACAATGCAGGACAGACGCCGATGAATTTGGGTGCGAGGAGGCGGCTGATGAGACCCTTGAGACCCATGACCAACGCTATGGTCGGGCGCTGGGGTGAATGGGGGGGGCAGGGATGAGGGATGGGGAGTGTGGCGGGGTGGGAATAAGACAAGATCCGCAGGACTGACGTCATTGAATCTAGATGCGAGGAGACGGCTGATGAGGCCCTTGGGCCCCATGACCAGCGCTATGGTGGGGAGCTGGGGTGAATGGGGGGGGCAGGGATGAGGGATGGGGAGTGTGGCGGGGTGGGAATTAGACAAACAATGCAGGACAGACGTCATTGAATTTGGGTGCGAGGAGAGCCGACAATCCACAACCGGAGTCATCACATTTGGGTGTGATGAGGCCCTTGGGTCCCATGACCAGCGCTATCGTGGGGCGTTGGGGGGAAGGGGGGAAGGGGGGAGGGTAGAGGAAGGCAGATTTCAGAATACAGGTCATTGAAAAGTGTGGCCGCTTTCTTTGCGCACGCGCCTTGGTCCACGCGCGCGCCTTGGTCCGCGCGCCCTGATCCACACGCACGCCCAGGTGTGTGCGCGCGCCCCTGTGTTGACGCCTGCCCTGCATTCTCTGCCTTACCTCCCACTCCCCATCCCCACCCCCCACTTTCTCCCAACCTCCCCTCCCCCCTCCAGCGACCCACCATAGCTCTGGTGATGGGACCCAAGGGCCTCATCAGCCGCCTGCTCGACTCCAGACCTGCATTGCCTGCCCCACTCCCCCTCCTCTCTTCCCACTCTCCTCCCCCCAGTGCCCCACGATAGCGCTGGTGATGGGTCCCAAGGGTCTCATCAGCCGTCTCCTCGCGGTTACTCTTAACAACGCCTGCCCTGCAATTCCTCTCGTACTCCCTCTATCCCCTCCCCAACCCCCACTCCCGTGCCCCTCACACTTTCCCTCCCCTCACCACCCGACCATAGCGCTGGTCATGGGACCCAAGGGCCTCGTCAGCCGTCTCCTCGCTCCCAGATTCAATGACCTGTATTCTGAAATCTGCCTTCCTCTACCCTCCCCCCTTCCCCCCTTCCTGAAATATGCGGCTAGGCCATCCCTGATGAGCCGTGACGTAGCCTCAGGTGCTGCCTCCGCTAAGAAATGAATCACGTCGTCGGCCGTCGCCCCCCTCTCGCCAGCAAACAAGGCGGACAACCCTACGCGTAACACGCACAGTAACGGTCGCATGTGCCGCGATATGTTCACGCTTCCCGTCGTTGCATCTTTGCATGCTTGCGTTGCCGCATGTAACCCTGCACTTGTCGCTGGAGCCATGAGTAGCAAGCTGCACCTCCATGATGGGAGGCAATGTCATTATGGGCAACAGAGGGATACAGAGCAGAAGTGAGCACATGCTGTGAGAGGCGGAGCAGTAGCCTCACACTTTGAAACGAGCATCAGAATGCTATTGCTGAGACATCAATGGCGAAGGCCACGAGCTGTGACAAAAGCAGCAATGAGCACATGGTGACGACATCAGCAGCAGTGAGCACGTAATGTGACAAGAGCAGCAGTGGTATGATGCTGTGACATATAGAGCAGTAATCCGATTTTGTGGCATATAGTAGTAGACGCATCACATGTTGTGACTTGGCAACAGTGTAGCCTCATGCTATGACCCCAGCAGAAGAACCTACATCATGTGACACCAGCAGCAGTCTCAAGCTGTGACATGAGCATTTGCTATATGAAGCTGTGACATGAGCATTTGCTATATGAAGCTGTGTCATGAGCAGCAGCTATATGAAGCTGTGACATGAGCAGCAGCTATATGAAGCTGTGACATGAGCAGCAGCTATATGAAGCTGTGACATGAGCAGCAGCTATATGAAGCTGTGACATGAGCAGCAGCTATATGAAGCTGTCACATGAGCAGCAGATATATGAAGCTGTGACATGAGCAGCAGCTATATGAAGCTGTGACATGAGCAGCAGCTATATGAAGCTGTGACATGAGCAGCAGCTATATGAAGCTGTGACATGAGCAGCAGCTATGCGAAGCCGTGACAGGAAGGATTAGAAAGCATTGATGAGATACCGTGACAGGTTACAACAGTGACCTTATGCTTTGACATGGCAGCAGTGTCGGCTCATGTTGTGACGCCAGCAGTAGACATTGCATGCTTTGACATAGGGCAGCAGATATATGATGCCGTGACATGAGAAGGAGTGGCAAAAAAAGCAGTGATGAGATGCTGTGACATAAACAGCAGTGACCTTGCGCTCTAAACGCCAGCAGTAGACACTACATGCCTTGCCATGAGCCGCAGGGGTATGATGTTGTGACATGTGCACGAGTGAGCACATGCTCAGGCATAAAGAGCAATGATGATGATATGATGCTGTGACATTAGCAGGAGTGATATGATGCTGTGACATTAGCAGGAGTGATATGATGCTGTGACATGAGCAGGAGTGATATGATGCTGTGACATGAGCAGGAGTGATATGATGCTGTGACATGAGCAGGAGTGATATGATGCTGTGACATGAGCAGGAGTGATATGATGCTGTGACATGAGCAGGAGTGATATGATGCTGTGACATGAGCAGGAGTGATATGATGCTGTGACATGAGCAGGAGTGATATGATGCTGTGACATGAGCAGGAGTGATATGATGCTGTGACATGAGCAGGAGTGATATGATGCTGTGACATGAGCAGGAGTGATATGATGCTGTGACATGAGCAGGAGTGATATGATGCTGTGACATGAGCAGGAGTGATATGATGCTGTGACATGAGCAGGAGTGATATGATGCTGTGACATGAGCAGGAGTGATATGATGCTGTGACATGAGCAGGAGTGATATGATGCTGTGACATGAGCAGGAGTGATATGATGCTGTGACATGAGCAGGAGTGATATGATGCTGTGACATGAGCAGGAGTGATATGATGCTGTGACATGAGCAGGAGTGATATGATGCTGTGACATGAGCAGGAGTGATATGATGCTGTGACATGAGCAGGAGTGATATGATGCTGTGACATGAGCAGGAGTGATATGATGCTGTGACATGAGCAGGAGTGATATGATGCTGTGACATGAGCAGGAGTGATATGATGCTGTGACATGAGCAGGAGTGATATGATGCTGTGACATGAGCAGGAGTGATATGATGCTGTGACATGAGCAGGAGTGATATGATGCTGTGACATGAGCAGGAGTGATATGATGCTGTGACATGAGCAGGAGTGATATGATGCTGTGACATGAGCAGGAGTGATATGATGCTGTGACATGAGCAGGAGTGATATGATGCTGTGACATGAGCAGGAGTGATATGATGCTGTGACATGAGCAGGAGTGATATGATGCTGTGACATGAGCAGGAGTGATATGATGCTGTGACATGAGCAGGAGTGATATGATGCTGTGACATGAGCAGGAGTGATATGATGCTGTGACATGAGCAGGAGTGATATGATGCTGTGACATGAGCAGGAGTGATATGATGCTGTGACATGAGCAGGAGTGATATGATGCTGTGACATGAGCAGGAGTGATATGATGCTGTGACATGAGCAGGAGTGATATGATGCTGTGACATGAGCAGGAGTGATATGATGCTGTGACATGAGCAGGAGTGATATGATGCTGTGACATGAGCAGGAGTGATATGATGCTGTGACATGAGCAGGAGTGATATGATGCTGTGACATGAGCAGGAGTGATATGATGCTGTGACATGAGCAGGAGTGATATGATGCTGTGACATGAGCAGGAGTGATATGATGCTGTGACATGAGCAGGAGTGATATGATGCTGTGACATGAGCAGGAGTGATATGATGCTGTGACATGAGCAGGAGTGATATGATGCTGTGACATGAGCAGGAGTGATATGATGCTGTGACATGAGCAGGAGTGATATGATGCTGTGACATGAGCAGGAGTGATATGATGCTGTGACATGAGCAGGAGTGATATGATGCTGTGACATGAGCAGGAGTGATATGATGCTGTGACATGAGCAGGAGTGATATGATGCTGTGACATGAGCAGGAGTGATATGATGCTGTGACATGAGCAGGAGTGATATGATGCTGTGACATGAGCAGGAGTGATATGATGCTGTGACATGAGCAGGAGTGATATGATGCTGTGACATAAACAGGAAATAGACCTTATGCTGTGACTTGGCAGCAGTGGTGCATCATGTTGTGACGCCAACAGTAGACACCACATGCTTTGACATGAGCAGCAGGGATAGGATGCTGTGACATGAGGAGGAGTGAGCACCCTTGCTGTCATAAGAATCAGTGACCAGAGGATTTGACATAAAACGTCAAATTAACATAATGCTGTGACTTGGCAGCAGTGTCAGCTCATGTTGGGATGCCAGCAGCAGAGGCTACATGCTTTGACACGAGCCGCAGTGTGCAGTTGCCGTGACATTATCAGCAGTGACACCGCACTCTATGATGTGGGCAGCAGTAACCATATGATGTGCCATGAGCAGCAGTGACACCGCACCTTATGACGTGGGCAGCAGTGACCATACGATGTGAGCACATGCACCGGTGACACCGCACGCTATGACGTGGGCAGCAGTGACCATGTGATGTGATCACATGCAGCAGTGACACCGCACGTTATTACGTGAGGAGCAGTGACCATATGATGTGACATAAGCTCCAGTGACACCGCACGCTATGACGTGTGCAGCAGTACTTATATGATGTGGCATAAGCAGCAGTGACACCGCACGCTATGACGTGGGCAATAGTAACCATATGACGGGACCTAAGCAGCGGTGACACCGCACGCTATGACGTGGGCAATAGTAACCATATGACGGGACCTAAGCAGCGGTGACACCGCACGCTATGACGTGAGCAGAAGTGTGGTCTCTCATAAGCAGCAGTGACACCGCTCGCTATGACGTGCCTCGCAGTGACCTTATGCTGTGACACAAGCATATGTGACGCCGCATGCTGTGACTGGGACAGCAGTGACGCCGCATGCTGTGACTAGGACAGCAGTGACGCCGCATGCTGTGACTTGGGCAGCAGTGACGCAGCATGCTATGACCATGCTGTGACTTGGACAGCAGTGACGCCGCATGCTGTGACTTGGACAGCAGTGACGCCGCATGCTGAGGCACCAGGGCGATGGCGCGCATGCGTTATGCGGGACGAACCTCAGGTTGGAACCGTGGCTCTGACAGTGGCTACGACAGAGGGTGACAACACGCTCGACTTCAGCAGCCCGTCTACAGCTGTGTATGCCACCGACAGCCACTGAAACTACAGCTTGAGTGAGACAACACTACAACCGGTGCTCAAGATTGCGTTTATCGTCTCTTACAGTTGGGTGCCGATGTACAAAATGTAGTGCAGGACGTTGGCCTTGAATCCCGTTCACCTATCGTCTTTCTCCATACCGGCAACGGTTTAGGCCTTTCCCTCGCGCATTCCCGTGGTCGCCCTGTCGAAGATTACTGTCGCAAGTCAGGCCGTAGATGTTACACCCGCAGGTATTAAAGGTTCTACCAACCTTTCCTATTGTCTACGTATGGTTAGGACCCACCCGAAATGAACTTTTCCTCTCTAGAATACCCCTACAATGCTCGTACTTCGTGGAACGCAACTACTCTTCTCGGCAAATCGTGCTCCTTACACTCAGGCCCTGAACGTCGCGTTTAGCTGTTGACATCTCCTGCGACGCGGCGTCCTAGTGCCAGCGCGTCGCGACAATATTTCGTGCTGTGACCTGCCTACTATCAAGCAAGGTTGGTAGTCGTGCTATGCGTTGATTCCGTCATCGAGCACGTTTTGCGAGGCTGTAGGTGTTTTAGGTCGCTATTGAGGTTGGTGTCAAATGTTTACCTACCACTCGTTTTGGTGGTTCAATTCAACACTTCACCGGACTGTAACCCCCCTATTCCCTCTATACCCCCTCGCTGTTCGGATGCGATGCGAGTATTTTT